CTGATACAAATACCAATCGGGCGACGTCGTGACGATAAACCGGGCGCGTGAACGGCGCGGAATAAATAAAGAAACGGGCGTTGCGATATAGGGTCGAGAAAAAAAGAGAGGGAGAGAGAGAGGGAGAGAGAGAGAGAGAGAGAAACAGAGAGAGACGATCGCCGGCGTCGTGGTCGTCGACGAGCGAGACGTGGCAGTCCGTGCCATCGGCGATCCACGCCCCGCTGACTGGACTGTTTTTTATTGCACCGCCGCACCCGAAAGATCGACCCGGGGCCGGAGGAAGTTTCCTCTTTCGCCGGGCGAACGGCGAAGAGACAGGGGGGAAGGATGTCCCGCGCGGGGGCGGACGAACGCGCACCGGAGTCTCGCGTTCGGTCCATCCGGTCGATCTGCCGGCCGAGAGCGACGAGACCGCGGGGAGAAGGGAGGGGGGCGAAGTCACCGACAGAGAAGCCACCCCGTGTCGACCTTTTTGCACCATCGCCGGTGCACCGGTGATGACATGACCCTTGATTGGCGTGGATCCGCGTCACGGCTCCGCGGATCTCGATGAATGTCAGTGTCGACATGGAGATGCCGTTCGCGCGGCGAGTCGACCGCGAGACGTGTCTCGACTGATCTCGCCACTAAACCGAAAAACTTTATATATACCGGGAAACAGGCCGGATTCCTTTCCCTAGCGATGAGATAAATGTTGGGGGCTAAATAAAGAAAACGTTGGCACTTAGTTACGTGTTCAAGTGCATTTTAATCTGAATAAGAAACGCATCTGTGAGAGTTACACGCGAATAAACAAATCAAGAGATACACCTAAGGGCTATGTATATTATTTCTCATATACATTACACATTCACTTCACATGTCATGTACGTTACGTTTAATTCGCGTGTACATTACAGTCGAAGAGCCAAATGCATCATCCTAGAAAGCTTTTATATAATACTTGCAGCGATACGATTTACAGCACCGTCGTATAAACTGACTAGCTTCCACACTGATAAAAGAAATACCTAAAAAGTGAAAAATATTTTTTATCAATAACACTTTCACTTAAACCTAAATTCTTCTGTTTAAACAGCTGCCTTTTCATAAAAAAGCTATAGATTTAATAAAATGTATGTTTTCTCACATTTGAAGAGAATTTTTCTGAATAAATATTTATTTCTTCGATACTTTTTCTCTCAGCATATATACCCGGATATTATCGGTGCAGTCCGTGTACGAAAATTCACTAGTATCACTCGGATATTTTCAGTCGCTACTCGAGACGATCCGACCCCGCTAATTCGCGACTGCGGGAGTCGACCGTGCGAGAGAGGAAAAAAAAATACGAACGACTCCGTGTAATGGCTCGTTCGTCCAAAAAAGAAACGTCCGTTTCCGTTCGCAGCTCCGCGATGAGAGGCGCGCCCTTACACCAGCGCACGCCACGATCTATTGGTGGTACGATCAATTCGGCGGATTAAATCCGAGCGGACGGGAGAGACCTCTCTCGCAGGGGCCCGTCTAAAACTTTCTTACGGTGTCATCGCGACGCGCTTTCGATTTTCGCCCGGTCATCGAGTCTCATTTAAAGAGGAGGCGATCCTCGTTAGAGCAGCAAAACCGAGGAGATCGACTGCCTGACCCTCCGGGCGATACGCCCACTCGATACCGCGCTTTGATCCGCGGACAAATATCTTCTCGTTTGACCATTTAGCTTCTCATTTGCCATTTGGCCGAGCATCACGATCGCCTTCGATTGCCGGTTCCGCGACGGCGGCTACCGTGCCGGAATAATACGCACCGTCGTCGACGGAGAGGGGGGCGGGAGAGGGGATGAGAGATGGCGATTGCCATTCCGCTATGCGATTCCGTATTTTGAGAATCGTTTCGTAACCGAAGATCGATGTTCTTTGCGCGAGCAATGCCGCCGCACGCCGTCTGCATATCAAGCCGTCCCGTAAAGCGCACGCATGAGTTGCACATGCATGCATGCGTACTTACCTCCCCTATGCGTGCACGCTCGCGCATCGCCGGTCTGTTTTAACCCTTTCTCAAGCTGCTCAGGTACACACACACACACACACACCCAGCCGTTGATCATTTCAGTTGCACCGTAATACGTAAAAATGACGTGAAAATGAAAAATGATCTTTCGAAGCTGCTCGTGTCCATGAAGGGAAAAAGAGTTGTTCCCGAAGTCGTTTCTCGCGAGTTGGGAATTCCCACGTGTTGTTATATGATCGGAAAATCTGTTCGCGTTGTGAGACGGAAAAGAATATTTCTCGCCGAGTCATTATCGCGTGAGACCGCGTTATCGACTCGAAGTTGCAATGTTACTCGTTTGTTACTCGAAGTACGTCAGAGGACGCGAATAAGTTTAAAATACGGGAGACGAATATTATGTGTGACAATTCGGTTACTTTGAAAATACACACTTCGGAATCTATTTTAGATCTATTCCAGAACTCCCTCTTCACCGGCCCCTTATTTAAAGCGCGAGTTTTCGATTTTAATTCCATTCGCGCGCGGATCCCGTCTCGGTTTTCGGCGATTCGCCGCTCGTGTACGTCGCACACACACCGGGAGAAACTCGGTAATGCGACGCTCGGCAATCGATACAGGCGATGAAGCATAAACGAGCCTATGAATTAGTGATGTAACCGCGGGTGTCTGATTACCGTGCGCTTTCGGACACGCCGGCTCGGTTAAGAAGAACAGAAACAGAGGGTGTCGAAGGGGCGCGCATTAGCGCCTCGTTTATTATTTATGTGTGAGAGTTATATGTAAGCTCGCGTGCGCGCGCATATATATGTATATGTATATATATATATATATATATTATACATATATATATACATATATTATATTGTATAAATATGTATAAATATGTATATATATGTATTCGTAATTTCCGTGCGCGCACGACACGAATTTCGTTTCGACGCGTGCACGCAGGGAAATTGTCGCTTACGTTCGCGTTTCACCCCTGGGACCGTTTCATTTGTGCACCCTGCGGTAAGGTTGCGCAGCCCACCCCGCGGTGGGTGAGCCGTAGGCAGCTTTCGGTAATATCCGTCGAACGGGAACACAGTCGAAAGCGATGTCTGACACGGAGACATCGAAATTTTCAAGCGAGTGTGAATCTAGTTTTCGTATTCGTAGCAGGGAAACTCTCAAAAAAACACTTATACTTACTTTTCTCTTTCTGATAATTTTTTTTAATTTATGTAACATTTTAATTAACTATAATTATAAAAATTAAAATATAATTAATATCTAAGAAATAATTTATATATTTTCTATGTCTACGTACTGTCTATGTTAATATGCATGCATAAGTGTGTGATGTAAAGATTCTAATATTTAGTATAAGAATTATTTTAAACCATGTTTTGATTGTCAGTCAAACCTTTTTATAAAATTCCGTATTAATGTAAACAATATTTAATAAGTACACCTGATATTGTAAGTTTGATAAATTAAAAGTGATAGATACATTCGGCAAAAACAATATATTCTTGAAAATTTGATACGCATGAAACATTTTTATAAATTGAAAGTGTCATCTAAATTTTTTATTGTCCGACAACATTGGCTTTTTCTTGCGTCCAACGTTACCGCATATCAGTTGAAGAATGACGCAACTATTTATGCAGTGCTACATCATAAAATCAATTTCTGCAAATATTGATACATCATCGTTGATACAAATAATAATACAAACACTAATACATCAATACAGTTTTTTCAAAGTTTAATATAACTACGCGTCAAACTTTCATGCGAATGCCATGAAGTAACGTCGACAGAACGATATCTTATCTTTAGACCGACTTTAAAATGACAAAAATGTGTATGAGCGGAGGAAATTTGAAGTGGATTTTATAAACTTTTCAGGAATAATTCAGGAATGCGTGAGAGAAACGAAAGACGGCGAGGACGAGAAGAAGGATTTGTCATGGTGCACGAGATCTCTCACCTAGACGAGAATTCCTCCGTACAGGGCGCGTTAAAGTAATGGGTGTGACCGCGATCCTATCGCTCGGGTTTGTTTAAGTAATCGAACGTTTCGGGACCGGACAGCGTATCTCCATGTCGGCATCTGGCCAGCCAATATGTATGATAATTCGAACATGCCTACACCTCATAATGGAGCCTGAATATGTGCGCGCCCTTGGTCCTGATTTTTTTCGTCCTGTCTCCTTTCATACGTAACTGGAAAATCCTCGAGTCTTACAAAAGTATAAATGTAGACTTGTGTGCGTTGAAGAATTTTTTCGAGCAGGAGATATATCGATGTATGTACGTTATTATGAATAACACTCAACGTTATTTAAAGAATCTGATCAATATGTAATATATAATCCTTGCATTTATTTTTATTCATAATTAATCCTTCGATAAGCAGTATCTATTTTAACAATTTTAATCAATTTAGTGTAAAAAGATAATAATTTGCTACTTATTTTTGCTGAATATTTATGATTACAGATATTTATGATTACAGATATTTCGGTACCCTACGTAGGCTAGTAATTTCTCTCTATTTTAATGAATTATGCAATAATGTGTAAAACGTTACATTAGAAATATTTATTTATATACTTCATAATTTATTCTATTAATGTGTTCATATACAATTATTATAAACTAATATTACGTATTGTATATGTGATGTATTGTATATGTGATGTACGTATTTTATACAATTATAATATATAAAATAATTCTACATTATATATATAATAGAAATAAATAATATAAAAATATTAATTTGTGTTTCTTTCTCTCTATCTCTCTGTCTTTATCGCGACTATAAAGTATCATGTTATTAAGTTAACTCACGCTGAATTCGAGAGGATTATCGAGGCGTTCCGTCATGATCGATCGTCGGTAAAGTCGCGATACCAAAAGCAATACCCACAGTCGATACCATTACGAGCGGGGCTACAAAAATACCGTCGTTACATTGATAGCACTCGTTAAGTTTGCGAGCTTAGTCGTCTGGCGACAGCACGCAACAGTCGTTGCCGCTGGACGCCTCGAAAAGCAGCCTGTTACCTTTCGGTTTCGTTAATTAAAATTACTGACATTATAAAACGCTCGCCGACTACATTGAGTAAAGTATAATTCACGCGTTCTTCGTGACATGTTCCACAACGTAGCAACGGCCGACGTTGCTAGTGTGTCGCGTAACTTCTTGCGTGCGTGCCAAAACGGAGACGCATACAGAGTGGAAACCCTCGTCGCAACACACGGAATTCGCGATTGGTGCGACTTCCGTCACACGGATTCCGGCGACACCGCGCTGCACGTGGCGGCGCGAGCTGGTAATATGAACGTAGTGAAGTATCTGTGCGAACATTTCGACATGTCGACGTTTAAGATCGATGTCACCAATAAGGACATGAAGAGGCCTTCGCACGAAGCTGCGCAATTTGCGCGAGAAGACGTTTTAAAGTATCTACTGGAAAAAGGTATCACGTTCTTACTTTTTCATGAACCACGCGAGCCACCCAGCAAAATTTGCTAATAACATTTGATAATATCAAATGGAATATATCTATCGACGTAGAAATTAGTCGAATTCGAAAATATCCAAAAAATAATATATAGTTATAAAATGAATATCGACTCATCTGTAATAGCATGAATAAATCACTTAACTTTTCTATCCGAATGTATATTCTACAAAAATATTCCAATTTTTTTTTTTATTAACATCTGTTTCAAATTTGTACTTATTTTTTACGAGATACTTATGACTAAATTATACTGTATATACTATATATAATTATAAATATATATCACTCAGCATCTGGTTTTTAGATTATGCGTTTAAAAATCAATTTACATCGCAATCGTGATTTCGATTAACATTCAGCTCTTATTCCGAGAAAATTATTTTACTCGGATTTAAACTACTTGAAATTATGCCAGAATTACAAATTTCACTGAACGCCAAATATACCGTCATATGATTCGTAAAGGTGCATCGGTAGACGCTTTGAAGCGCGGCGATTGGACGCCTTTGATGCTCGCATGCACGAAAAGCGGCTACGTAGCATTCCAGTGCATCGTTACTCTTTTGATGGCTAAGGCTAATGCACGTTTACGCAATAAAGACGGCTGGACGCCGTTATTTATCGCTTGTCGGGCCGGTGATGAAAACGTGGTCGATTTATTATTGGAACATATGCCGGAGTGCATAGACGATCGAAGCAACAATGGTCGCAGCGCGATGCACATTGCTGGTAATTGTATATGCTTATAATATGTTAATTTCCCTTAACTCATGTTATATTATCGTATGTAAATATTAATTGTCTGACATGACTATTTGTATAAATATTATTATAGTAACTATATAAAAGAGAATGAAATGATGTAAGAAATATGAAAGATGAAAGATGAACTGACCAAATATGTGCTATCTCGTCAGATGTAAGAATAACTGAGCTTTTTTCGCAAAAAATTTCAGTTTAATTATTATAAATGTAATAATAAAATATTCTTCTATTCTGTTCGAAAAGAATGAAATATCAAGTATGATGAGATAAAACATAAATTTTTTGCTTCTTAAGTTTTATTTTATGAAACGAGAATCTCAGGTCTCTCCGATGATCCTCAGTGGAAAAAGTCATATCGGGTCGATCGTGACTATCTTCGGTAGAAAAAGTCGTATCGAATCAGTCGCAATACTCGACAGTTCAAATTTCGCGTGAGCAACTGGCAAATATACGTAGAGAATATACCTAGAGAGTACATACCTTCGTTGGATAAATCAGGGTCTGCGGTATTCCGATATTTCTCTTCATCTAGTAAAATGTTTCCCTCAACTCTCACACCCTTCCCGAATATTTTTGTCGTCCATTTCCTTCCTTAATATATAATATACATGTACTATTTAATGTTACAATATTTGAATAAATATATAGTTTTAATGCTTTCTTCTTTCCAATATTTTTATATCGATTTCTCTCTTAATGTGTGTGAATTTACATTGAATTTACAATGATGAAACTTTTATATAACCTAAATGAAAGCAATTTGATTATTACAAAACCTTTCGAAATGTTTACATTGTTAAGAAGAAATAAATACAAATATCCGGATAAAAGCACTTTTAAATCGTTTTCAAACCACTTATTCGTCTTTCTGCGTCTATGATCTGTGATCCATTTTGAATCTCTAATTATTACAGCATTCCACGATCACGAGAGAGTAATTAATTCGCTCGTTGCGTTGAGACCGAGTCTATTAAACGCGCAGGACTCTTCGGGCTCCACGCCACTTCACGAGGCGATGAAGAGCGGTAACCTGAATGCAGCAAGACGCATCGTAAATTTAGGCGCCGATGTCAATCTCGTAGACAATGTCGGTCAAACTATTTTGCACGTAGCTACGTTAACTGGTAACGTGGAGGCTGTTGAATACATTTTGGAGTACAATTTGATTGACGTGAATCGCAAAGCTTCTTTCGGCATCACCCCGTTAATGGCAGCTCGAAGGAGTAATCACAGCGATGTAATCGATATCCTCATGAAAAATGGTGCCATGTAATAAAATTTATATCTATGGCGAATACTTGCTCTTACTACATTTCCGAAATATCTCGTGTAATCTTCCCCGTAACCCAAACAGATTATACAATATATAATGAGCGATGCGATTCGATATTTTTATCGTTTAGATTCTCATACTTAGCGCGTCTGCTAAATTGAATTTATCTCTCCTTCAAACAGAAAGAAAAGTCGAATCGACGTTGATTCGAAGTCGATGCGTCGATATCAAATACTAGTCGATATTTTTGTCATTTTCGACCTTATAAGAAATATTGTCTTTATATTAATTGAACAATTACAAAAATGTAAGTTTCCAAGTCACAAAGAAGCTGAAAAATGTTCATTTGTAACAGCAAGTGCAAGACTTTCGGCCAGTGCAACGTTAAATTGAAAGTCGAAAAATCAATGATATCAGTGATTCGCGCCTGATTGCATGACTTTGACCTATGGCTGAGGATGGGTGAAAGACTCAGGCGAGTGGCGTTTTATTCAGAGATTGGTACACATTTATTAATCCTTTGTTTTTTCTTGTATCAGACAGTTTTAAAGAAGCATACAAAAATCAAGAAACGGAGGCTCTTATTAGTTCGGAGATACCTAGGCTTTACATTCTTCTTCGTCCTCTACCCTTTACCCTTCCTCCTCTGCTTCGTTAAACTTTCTTTTTCAGCGTGCGCAGGCAGGCGACGTAATACAGAAAATTCATGCGCTTACTGTTATACAGTATATGCGTGCTCGACGAGGTCCTTAAACCCTAGAACGCTAATGCAACGTAATCGGCAGTTAGTGGTTAACACCTTGCGGCACACGATGCGACGAATTCTTTTCGAGAGCTACAACGAAATAAATAGAAATGAACATACTTAAGCATTTCCTCGGGGAAAATCAGTCAATAATAATAATTAATTCTCACGATCATCGCGTAATTAAATCGCTTGCGTCGCTTTATCGCCAGCGCCAGTCGTGTAGCGCGCAAAATAGAACTCCAAATAACTGCAATCATTAACGATGATGCCGCAGGGAGTTAAGATGCTCTTAAAATATGCCGAAATATCGCGGGATCGTGTAAGAAAAAAATAAGAAGCACCTAATGTGTCAATGATCTCATCGCTTGTTGATATCGACCTTATTTACAGTAACCATAAGGAGAATACCAATTGGTGGACAGAAAGAACGGAAGATTGACGCGCGTTAGCGACCTCGGTTAGCGTTCCAGGGGTCAAGTATCGTTTACATCACGAAGGAGAAACGTAAGAGGTAAGATCACAGAATCGTACGAATTCCATGCGATGTCCAATGCGTGGATCCTGAAGTCCGCGAAATGTCGCGGCTTCCGATTCGAGAGATACGACGGTTCGGGGAGAGGGAGATGAACGGGAACGGTTTCGACCCTTTCCTCCCTCCGTCGAGCCCTCCGAGTGCCAGCGACCTCAGTCGCGTTAGTCTCTCTCTCCTCGACGAGATACTCGCGCTACGTTCTCCGTCCACGACTATTATTATCGAGTATACTATATAGCACAGTCGTGCGTGTGTACGGTACGAATATTGTTTGTTTTTTGTTTAACTATACTACATGGTACAATCGATATCTCGAGTGCGTCGGCTCTGAAGCTCGGAGGTGGCCAACGGGGATAAGGCGAGGGTCGACATTACCGCGCGCGATCACTTTGCCGTCACTTCGATCGCCCCCCGCGGGGCCCGCAACCTCATAGAAAAAATAGGTGTGTGTGAATGAAGGTTTTTTTTTTCGCGTAAAGTAACTCGCACCGAACTCGCACCTTCTCCTCTCGCGATCCTATTCCCCTCTCTCTTATAGCAAATCACAGTATATACATAGGACGCAAATGTTGCTCCGGGGGGAGTGGAGGGGTTTCTCTCGAAACGTCTCGAACCGGCTCCGAAGGGGGGGGGGGGAATTTGAGGGGGNNNGGGGGGGGGGGGGAATTTGACGGGGGATGATTCTCCTTGTCTTTCTTTTTCTACTTTATTTTATCTTCTTCCAGCTTCGCTGCTCGATTCGCATTCCATCTTTCACGCTCGGAAACGAAAGCTTATCCGCTAAGTATCTCGCGGAACGAAGACGGGAGATTCGCGGAGAGAGAGAAATGGTAAGGTGAAGGGGATTCTCGAAGGCGAAGGGGGAGAGGAGGGAGGGGGGAAGTGAGGGACGACGGGGGAAGGCGGGAAGTAAAGGATTGTCATGGCGAAAGGAAAAAAGGAACATCTCAGGTCGGAACAGTCAATTAATCTCGCGCCTGGTTTCTTCACCGCCGGGAAAACGGGCGAGGATAAGAAGAAGGGGTGAAAGGAGTGGCCGGGGCGGAAGATATTTACATTTATAAAACGGCTAAGGATAAAACATGCACTGTACATTGTCTGATCGTGTCCGATCAACGTGTCTGCATACCACGCGTGCTCCCCCTCGTCCTCTGTCGACCCTCTTTCTCGCGCAGCGATACAAATACGTGTATGGACGAGTGTGCTCGTTTTGTCTTTTTCTCCTTTTTTCTTGTCTCTCCTCCTCTTCCACCTCCTTCCCGTTCAATTTTCGCACGAGGCGGCCGGATCACGTGAACCACCGCCGAATCCAGCATAGAGATATGGGTTCGGTATGAGAAACCGATAAAATTACATCCGTAACGATTCTTCCTTATGATTCGCTCGAAATATAATCGGACACTCGAAGCTGATCGGAAATGAAGTAAGAGTCCACTTTGGGTACGTATAATCTCATATACTCGAAACAAGCTTTGGAAATGGGTCGTTCTAAGTATAACGTTATATTTAAAGCGGATTCCTCCCGAACGTAGAGAGCGAAGGATATCGCTTTAAATATAATTTTTGCATTCGAAATGGACTCGGCGGGTTCCGGGCCGATCCCGGGGCCGCCGTCGCCGCCTCGTTTACTCTCTTCTCCTCCGCCGTTCGATCTACTTTTAGTGGAGTTCGTTATAAATATCCAACGATTACTTGGGCTCTTTAATATTTTACTTCCTTCGCTTAGTTTATTTACACATTAACTAATACGTCGTGGTACTTAAGTTAAGATCGCCTCGCGCGCGCGTGCTCCGCGCCTCGTCACCGATAATAATAGCTCGTAATGCTTTGCTACTTACTAGTAAAACTCGCTTAGTCTAAGTATGCTTTCTTTCCGCCTGCCGGTCATCATCATCTCTCAGGGCGTCGCGTGTCCTCGCTCTCGGTTCCTTAGATCTCTCTCTCTCTCTCACACACACATACACACACACACTCTCTCTCGCTCTCACACACATTCTCTCTCTCTCTCCGTCTCGCGCGCGTTCCACTTTACATTACAAGTATTCAACATGTACAAAGCTCTATTTACATTATGTACACACACACACATAGTCTTCGGAGTCCTTCGCGACGATAACGTCTCGCGTGTATTGCGCGTGTCCTCGTGTGGTGTCTGTATTCGTACACGCGGTGGAAACTTCGGTCGGGACGCCGCAGCCTGGACACTTCGAATAAGGAGCACGTCCGACCGCGCTCTCGTTGCGCGTTATCGATCGCAAACAGGCTGCTTTTGTCGCGGATGCGTAACATTAGGCACGCGGCGCTTTGATTCCGTCGTCTCTTTTCGTCGTTCGCCAAGAGAACGCGGTCCGTCTTCATCTTACCTAACGGGACGCACTTCGGTCGACTTTCGGGCTCTCGGCGGCCCTCCTCCTTCTTCCCTCCCTCCCTCCCTCCCTCGCTTTTCGGACTCGCATGACACGTCGAACAGATGGAATGTGAGTGCTTTCGTAATTATCTGGCAATTAGACGACGCGCAATTTGAGACTCGCAGTTTCCCCCGGTCGTAGAAAACGATAAGCATCATGAGCTAGCTCTCCTCCGGTTCAACGCTCTCTCTCTCTCTCTCTCTCTCTCTCTCTCTCGAATAAATCAGTCGTGGCGAAACTTAAATTCTAGAAGCGACTCGTAGTCTCAATCTTCGACCGTGGCTCGACAAATCGGCGGATTTGACGAGAAAACCGATACTGGCAGTCTTAATGGTTAGGTAATCTACAATTTGGTCGTCCCAATTAACGTCAGATGAGGGCCGGAGAGCTCTTGGAATATATTTATGCCGGGCGATATATTTGCGCTATCGGCAAACAAACGTCTACGTACGAGGTGTGAGGATTATCGACGAGCTGACGATCATCGTGTTTGGGATGTTGCGAGAAACCATTGGCTGACGGATACATGCCTCGGACGCCGAAATGAGCAATTACGTCTTAAAACTGCTCGAGACACATTTACACACCTAACGTAGCTGGTACCCTTAATGCGATATTATCACTATTACAATTCTCCTACGTGCGTGTTCCTCGTGAGAACGAGGAATCAACTAAGCGACCACGAAGTCGCGACGCAGTGGACAAAGATACGTCGAATCTGTCGCATTTGCCGGTAATCTCATCGGCATTCGAAAACGGTGCTCAAATATTCAAATGAAAAGAAACTATAGTTATACAATAATAGTCTAATTCAAAAGAAAAGTGTTAATTAATTGCGGTATTTCTTTCAATAATCGAAAGGTAGAAGATACCCATGGAAAGCATGAGAAATGCGTCCTGTATCGTTCCAGCATGTGATTTCTGTATTATTAGAAAATATATTATCGTATTCTTATATGTATTATTGAAAATATATACGAGAAGTTCGTTTTCCGTATCTTTTAGCTATAAACACATCGACTTTTCACGTTGAGACACAAGCGACTTTATATATCACGAAGGAAGATTGCGTGCGGCATCGACGGTGATAATTTGTTTGTAGGATAACTTAATTCACGTGGTGTGCAAATCCCTCTTGTTCCGTTCAGACTTTATTTCAAGTGTTAAGAACAGGCTGCCGAATAATACAAAATAAAACGCACAGAAAACAGAGGAAGTGTGTGGTGTGGCTCGCAGAAAGGGAAGAAAATAAAGTACAATTTTAGACGTGTTTAAGTGTTGCGGAAACACAGTTGGCTCAACGTAGTTTCATCCACGGTGTATCGCGTCGAGAAGACTATCGAAGCTCGCTCTCAACATACTCCTCTCTCCGTTCCTCTTTCTCTCACTCGGTCGAGAATCCTCGTGGTTTTTCGTCGTCATCGTCGACGAGGGATGGCCGGGAAACGACGAACTTTCCCACTCGACTCACAGTTTTTCGCCCGTGATACAAAACACTCAGGGATGATAAAAAATAAATAGCGCGCGCGCGCGCACGCGGTATATCCCTCGGTTAGACGTTTAGCTTAGCTCACGCGTTCTCATGTACACACGGTTTTCCGTTTTTAAAAAATAGTAAAAAACAGTGACTAAGTGTTCGCGCATTTTTCCACGTCGCTCGGGAAATCCGCTTGTATCACTAATATTTACTTGCCCGCGTACGATTCCTGGGCCCATTCATTTCTCTCTCTCTCGCTTCCTCTCTCTCTCTCTCTCTCTCACTCTCTCTCGTCACAATAATAATATATTGTTACTGTATACATACATATACATACATATATATATATTTATTTTTTTTATTTATAAAAATAACGTTCTGGGACTAAAACGTAACGTTCCAAAGCGGCGCGCGACGAGGAGCTACCGTAGTACGCGACTGATAAAGGCGCTTCAACCATTGCCCCTCGATTTCTTCTTTGTTCTTCCCGTACGGGAGGAAATCCAATTTCCGGCCAACGGGGCGAGAACGCGCTCGTTACTTCTCTCGCTCGTCGAAACACACGAATCGGTGGTGAAGGCTCGCGCGCGCGAGCGCGCACGCACGAGGAGCGCGCAGCGAGTGTTAGGACGAAGCTTTGCGCAGAACCGGCCACACTACGAGGAGGTAGTTACTTTAGGATAAGTAGATAAAAAGAATAACGCAACGGCGATCGTGTAACCGGATAATTGCAATTTGTTCTAATCGAGACTTTTCTTGACATTCTATTCTTTAAAGAAAGTATTCCCGCAGCGAATGAACGAAGTACGAAATATCGGCACTGATAATTCCTTAAGGGCAAGTTTCGTGAAATTTCCTCGAGTTGTTAAAAAAAATGCCAATGTCGACATACCGCCGTCGAGCACTTTTCCGATCTGTCAAGTGGAAAACGATGAGTAATAATATGTTGGACATAAAATAAATACTGTTGTCAGAAAGCGCGAAAGGACATAACGAAGCGTAATGTGCCGAATCTTACCTCGATATGCACGTTTCAAAGCCGATCTTATATAATCCGATATTGAAAACTATTAAATACATGTCTTTCGCGTAAAAGTTGCGTAACATTCATAACCAACTACACGTCGTTCATCGGGAGGCGTTGAGCTGAAGCGACGAATACCGCGACCCGCGACGAGACCGCTCCGGCTGAAGGTAACTTCGCGTCAGAAAAAATAAAAAGATATCCCCCGTTTATACAAATATAAAAAAAAAAAAAACAAAAAAAACCGTCGTCGTCATCGACAAAATTCTCAGACATCGGACGACTCCGAGCGCTCCTTTTCTTCCTCATTGCGCGAAGTTGAGCGTCGCCGAGCGGCGGTCTCGTTACAAATCGCACGATACCGATTCCTTCATCGAGCCGTCGTCGATCCCGCGTAAAGATCGCGTTCCGGGCCCACATCGATCCTCGACGACTTCCTCGACGATCATTGGCGTGTCGTCGGCGACTCGTGTCATACTCGGCCGGTGGCGATATGTCTAGATATCTATGTTACAACACCTGTGTTTTCTAAGTTGGGCGAGGTCACGCCGACCCGGTCCACGCCTGGAAAGCTTTGCACCGCCGAATACTCGCGGGTACGCCGGAGAAGCGACACCGATGAGAAGCGGTAAGCCGCGATTCGGCCGTCACATCGGCGTGTCGCGTCGAACGCGGGATCGAGCGGTTGCGTTAAACGCACGTTCGCCCGCCGCTCGCGTGATCGCGCCGACGTCGACGCGCGGTCGGGTAGCGCGATTGCAATTTACTCGCCCTCGGCGAACCGCGTTTAATGCCAACGCGACACCTAATATCACCAGGGACGCGCGTTTGACAGCCGAACCGCCGTTGAATCCGCCACTTATCGTCGCACTGAATACCGGCTCGCGACACGCGGTCCTGTCGAGTCTCGTAATCCATTCCTCTCCCTCGACCTATCACGATCGTGCGGCCGCGGGTCTGGAAAGGGCCGGACGCGCCGAGGTATCGACGGGTGTTCGCGCGATTTTTCCCTCTTCCGAAGTCCGTCGCGCACGAGAATGGGTTTCCATGTGTCCTTCTGGTGGTTCTCTCGCCGTAGAAAATATACCGATCCAAGTGATTCGTGGGAAACGAGACAGAGCGCATTAACTCGAAAGCGCTTCGGCCCCGCCGGGACTTGGTGATTTTTCTTCTAGAATTTCAAATCTCGGAGACACGCGAATTTTATGAGAAAATGAAATCAGTATGTATATATATCCGTGCATATATAAAAACAGAGAGTTAGAAAATAAATACTTCCAACGTCTAAAATTATTTTTACACCTTCCGCATACACTCGTGCGAGAAAGAAGGAAGATATGAGGTAAACATGTATGCACAGGCCGGCACTGAAGTCTTTACACATGAAGTTCTATCCTTCTAAAGCTCATCATGTACTTATTACGGGAAAGTCTAAAATGACAAAACATCGTGTGTAAAGAATTGAGGGTTGGTCTACGTATACTCGTTTGCACAATATGGTTTGCGTATGTTTTTCTTTTCGACGAAGTGTTAAGAGGCATCAAATGGTCACAATTGCGAGCCATTATTCATGAGCTTGCACGAAGTGGTAGTATACGAGACATCTGATAACTGCAACGAAAGTTTCAGAAAAAGATATGAGCATTGTTATTATAATTTTACTTTGCTGTTCAGTAAGAGGAAATAAAGACCACTATATATACCGTCTATTGTCATTCGATTTATATCGTAATCAATTACTATGCAAGCCCGTTAGCAGTGGCTCGCAATCATTACCATATCAGACGTTTTTAACTTCATTGAGAAAAATGTGCAAATCGTGTTGTACAAACGAGTGAACATTATGTTTTGATTTAGAAAATATATGAATAAAAAGTTATAATATTCATAGAAAGAGAGGGAGAGAGAGAGAGGGAGTAAAATTTAATTATATTATTAAAACAAATCTTTAAATAAAAAGTTAATTGATTTGAAAAAAATCGTTGGGATGAATCTCTCGGAACCGAATATTTTATGTCGTTCGGCGCAACTTTTGACGCAAAGTCATTTTTGCAAACTGTATTACTCATACGATATATATTCGCATAAAAAAAAATAATAGCAACAAATATTTCGCAAAAATTTCCACGAGCCACGTTCTCAATATATCATGATAAAACTTTGGTTCATTACACTCGTGCGAAGCCCGCCAAAGTGGCGTGATCACGCGCGATTGCACTCGGAAGATAAATTTTCCTTTCGTGATTCCTTTTTTGCTTTCGTTTTCTCGAAACCTTCGAAGCCGATTCTCGCGTGGGTGCGGATTCCGGAAAGCTCCCGTCAATGAGGACTCGTCACGTTCTGGTCTTTGCATTCGATTCGCCAATTCCAAACGCCCGGCCACGAACGGGCACACATCGTCGTCGTCGACTTAGCCTAAACGAGAGGTCCGCTACAATTCTGTTATACAGAGTCCGCGTCGCGGCGATTTTCTCACGCATTCGCACGCATGCACATTCAGGTGTATCCTAAGAGAGACGCGGACGTCCGTTGGACGACGTGGCAGTCTAGTTGGACGTCCGTTTCAATCACACACACGCACATACGCACACATGCGCATACACACACACACACTCTCTCTCATCCTTGTTCTTCAGCAGCTGCTCTGTCTCACTGCTGATCGCGAGGAGACGTCCGACCGAATCCGAACGGATGCCAGCCGAAGGGCGGCGCGCTTCCGGCAGAACGCTCGCGATACGAATCGATTTATGGCTAAAACGCGCGACGAACCTTCCTCCGCGCGCGAACCTCGGCGAACGACACACACCGTCGCGCTTACGGTACACGCTTGAGCTAAAAAGCGGCAACACACGTCCGCCTCCCGCAGGAGACCTAACGCCCCTTTCGCACAAGCCCCCGAGCTTAACGAGAAGGGGGAGCGGGGCGGGCTAATCGCCGCGACTAAGCACGCGCTTCTTCTCAGGAACGAATCGTCGTATCTTCACGTCACCGTCACCACCGTCACCCCCCCCACAACCGTCACCAGCGTAATTCCCGGAGACAGGACGAGCCGTCCGGTCGCGCGCGAATCCGCCGCGCCGGAAGAACGTCCGCGTCGTCGGGGGGGGAAAGGAGAATCCCTCTCTCTCCCTCCCTTTCCTTCCCTCTGCCCCGGGCCAGTCGAGTCGTGGAATCGGGCGGACCTAACACTCGCTGTAGGACGGCGGCGGCATACCGCGACCCGTGTACATGTCCGTCTGCGGCTGCAGGTGGCAGACGACGGTGTGACCGTCCAACACGGCCACCGTCCGCGTGTGGTCCTGCTGCGGCGGCATGCCGTACGCCGCCGGTAGCCGCGGCAGGTCGCCGAGCTCGTACCTGGCCTGCTGCCGGCGCAGCTTCTCCCAACAGGCGTTCAGGGTCCGTTCCACCGTCGGCCCGTACTCCGTCGCGTCGTAGTGCGCGAGGTTACCGGCGGCCACCCCCCCGTTGCCGCGCTCCGCCATCGGCTGGCCGTAATGCGGCAGGTTGCGGTCGGCGGCGGGCGAGTACGGTATCAGCGGCCGATGGTCGCCGTAGCTCCTGGAGGACTGCCTGCTCATGTCGCTCTGCCGCCGGCCGTCCTCGTCCGACATGTCGGACACCTGAATCTCGCCGGCGCCGACGACGCCGCCGATACCGCCGGCGATGATGCCTGGCCCTGCGACGCCGCTTCCCCGCTCGATCTCCTCGTACACCGGGTCGTCCTCGTTGGCGAGGCCGCGAGGCAGGTGCACGTGTTGACCGTGGTGAGCGTGCAGCTGGTGATGCCCGGCGCCGTTGCCGCCGCGACCGTCCACGATCTCGGTGTACGTGTGATTGTACGGCATCGCGGCGCGCCTGCCGCCGGTCGTCCTGTTGCCGGTGCTGTTCATCTCGCCGGCGTCGTTCGGCCCGCGTCGCCTTCCCGAGTGGCCGAGCGTCAGGGTGTTGTGCGTCCGCGGGGAGTCTTCCTGCTCGGAGCCGCCGTGTCCGGAGTCGCGGGAGTAGGACTTAAAAGAAATGTTCTGCGGAGAGAAAGAGAGCCGGCGCGTTAGAGCGATCGGCCGACGAGCCGCCGAAGGGAGGAGGATGAGACGCACGCCAGAATTGCTCGCGAATCCTAGGCAGAACGAATGTCTGAGAGACCCCTTAAGGCTTCTGGCCCCTCGTTGATGACGTCAGAAAAGACGTACGCCAAGAAGTCTCGCGTCTATACGTTCAAATAAAAAGATATGCCCACGAAATGACACGTGATTGATTCAGTATGCTCGTAAAATTGTTCAAACACTTTTCTTTTATTCGAACAATCAATAAATAGTCGAAAAATTAACTTGACATGGAGCCTTCCCTTTTAATCTCTTTTCTCGAGATTTTGTCAATGTTAACTTTACGATCTATCTATTGATTATTTGTATTGAGCAGAGGGAAAGGTGTTCGGACAATTTTACAAGTGTGCTGAATCACAAATGTCATCTTGTAAATACACCTTTTTATTTGAGCGCAAGAATTCCTGGCATGCGTCTTCTCGCTTCTGACGTCATCGAACAAGGACAGCCTGGAAGGACCGGAAGCTTTAAAGACGTCTGGAAAATATCTAAAAAGAAATAGAACGACTTTCAGACATCTTTAAAAAGCAAAAAACCTTTCAGACATTTGTTCGGTCCGGGAATCACGTGTGTCAAACTCGAGAACGCTCGGGCAGACGCGCGGGAATATACCGCGCTTTCATCTCCGTTGCTTTTTATCTCGCTTTAATTATGCTCGATTTACGGCCACTTCCAAATGAAACGGCTCAATTGATGATCGCGCATGCATGAGAGCGGCGGGAAAATCCGCCGTTCCGTGTCGCACGAGGACCGTATTTCACGGTTAATCATCCTCCTCTCCTCGTCGTACGGGGTGTGCAACAAAAAAAAAAAGATTAACACGTAACGTAAACCAAGGCACACAAGATGAGCTACACACAATTCATGACAGGATAAATGGAGCACTGTGTTCTGATATAAAACGTCATAACCGCGTATTCGCATTTGTTCTTGCGCCCGCGGACGCGTATCAGAATAAGAAAAAAAGAGAAAGGGGGTGGGGAGGGGGGAGGCAGTCCGTAGAGCGACATGGCTTATTCCATAGCATCTCCGTCTCCTCTGGTTTTACTTCAGCCGACGCTCATCAATCACCGCTATTTCGTTGCATCGCGGTGATTCAACGAGCGTCGCTGAAAGTAAAAAACTATAAAAAAGATGTACATTTACATCTCTATTTTATCTATTTATTTCTTACATCCGCGGAATTTGTAGAGAAAGAGTTCGGAAATAGCTCGATCAATATATATACGTACGTGTCGATCTTTCACAGATTGGATTCGTGTCTCCGAAAAAATTCACGCAACTTTATTTTCGTATTCTCGGATAAAATGGGAGGGTCACTTTTGAAATTTTCCTCAGCGGAATGACTTCGATAATGTATTACCAAAATTCTCAAACGTGTGAACTTTTCTTCTTCCAACGTGATTATATGAATCAATATCCCGCGAAGCTGAAACAAATGTTGTGCCACTTTAAAACTCGGAGATGAAAGAAAGGATACGGCTCATATTCGACCGTACGAGGTTCGGTTTCTTTCTTGTTTACTTCGAATTTTACTTCGACGACGGCAATTATTCCAGCTTCGAAACATCGTGATACGCAAAAACGAAGAAAATGAAGAGGAAATTCGCAGACGAGAAACTATGACGCAAGCCGTGTCGCCAACTTGAAAAATAATCTCACTTTACACACCGACAAAGTATCTCCGCATCTCCATGCTCAAAATTCGGATCAGGCTCGCTCCTGGGATGCGTAAAGGCGATTAGGTGCTGTGCTTGAGTGAAAATTAATACCGCACACCATGCAGAAATAAAAATAGAGAGAAAGGCAGAGAGACAGAGAGGAAGAGAGAGAAAGAGGAAGAGAGACCATAATAAGACAAGACACGATGAGCGGAGACGGCTCTAATTTTGGCGAAAGCATCGGTAAAGATGTTACATTTACAACGCGAGCTCCTCTCCCGCGGTGCGTTTGGCGTTTCAGCGACGTCTTTATAAATACGAGAGAACCGTGTTGTAATAAAGCAAATATCAAAGTCATAATCAGCGAGATTCTCGTTAGAGATAGCGAGGACGCTCGCAAACACGAGGATGGTGGTTGCCGAGATATTTGCGAACGCGTGAACTATATCCTCGATTAGTATGATCTTTGTAAATGCGCGATCCTCCCGCGGGAATACAAAGACCCACGGTTAATTCTTGTAAACGCGAGCTATTTGCGCACGTAAAGATCATATTTAGCGAGGATCCCGTCAATGAGGGAGCAGCGGCTCAGCAAACAGAGCCGCTCGCAAATACGAAGACCCATCCATGATCTCGAAACATTTCGCGGATGCGGCCCGCACGCGTTTCGATTATGCCATCGCACGAGCGAATGTTAGCGCCGAGGGAGCAAAGCGACGCTCTGTTAATAAAAACGTGCCGAATGAGGCTCTAACTGTTCTCTATTAATTAAAGTTGCGATACATTTCTGCGATATATACTGTCTGTATGCAAATCGTAACGTGCAATCGGAATTACATATCGTCGATAATGAAAAAGTCGGAATAACCGAAGAATTAATTAAATACATCGAATTAACGAGATTGTAAACACGCATCTGTAATTTGCGTTTCAATAATTTAATTTATGTTTTCGATGAAACGCGCGTCTTTTTTAGGAGAGACCGTACGTGACGAAAACAAGCCATTCCGCCCTCCGTTCGGACGTCTCAATTACTCCGGTTAATTCCGGTGAAAAAATTACATCGCGAGCTCAGCATATATAGTAATGTATATCCACGTATAATCGATGAAGAATATCAAGAAAAATCTCAAGACGATCTCGTTGAGTTCGCCTGACTCATAGAGCCGCCCCTTCGAGCGAGGGTGAGAGAAACACAGTGAGCGAGCGAGCGAGCGAGCGAGTTTAGCGGTGAATTAGTTACCTTCCACATGAGGTTTTTGTTAAGGTGGCCCCAAGTGGCGGTGGCAGATTTGGGGATATTGGGAGCTGAGGGTAAGAAGGCGTGACGTGCGTACGGCAGGGTGGCCACGATGTGAGTCTCGGTCGAGGAGGGTTCACCTGGCACCGTTACTGCCGGCTGCCTATCGACTATCGCCCAGCTTCGACCGGATACCAAGTACTGCAAAAGCAACCAATCCGCCGTTGCCCCTTTAACCCCTCGTTTACCGCATAAGCAAGCCCTGTCGTTGCTGTCGTTCGTGATACAGTGTTTAATGCGTGTGAATGAACGGATGTCGTCTAACCCGGATAAGTGACGATTAACGCGTTGACGATTCAACCGAACACTCATCTTCCGGCATACCCAAAATGCGCCGATTGACGAGTTCCTCGCACCCGAGTCGTAGGACTCGGAGGACGAGGCTTCGTTCGAGGGCTGCGACGTCTTATCTCCGCGACCCTCCGATTGAAATTACTGCGGCCGGAAGGAAGGAGCGGAAGGGCCGGGCGATCGATGAAGCGACGGGTATGAGAGACCTCGTGCGCCAATTAGGATACATAATTGTCTGGGTACGAAGGGAAGGACGCGCTGTTGTAGATTTCACGCGCGCGAGCGACACGAGCGAACACGTACGCCGGCCGGGAGATATGGGCCGTGAGCTGTACACATCCAGCGGTATCTCTCTCGCGGGCTACCGGAAGCGGAACGGATTTAACTCGCGCGGGAGCGAATCTACGACGTAGCGGCCTGAGATACGCGACGTCGGCACGCACGCAGCCGACGGTCCTCGGCCTCTTTTCCTTTGCCACCCCACCGAACCTTCCTTTCTGCCTTCCTTCCTTCCATCCGTCCGTCCGTCCTTCCCGCCGGCCTTCGACGAACGGACGTGGCGCGTTTGTTGCGCGAGGACGACACGTGATTGCACCTGTTTCGCGGCTCTATAGGGACGGGTCACGCGACCGTCGACCGGACTTCCGCTCGGAACGAAAGCTACGAGCCGAGCACGCATCGGAAAAAGAGTGCCGCACCGCGGTGTGTTCGGATAAATCGGCCGTGTAGCGCACGAGAGACGGTGGAAATCCCACGGCCCTCGAAGGATCCTCGAACGGGGAGGGAAAGGGAGTTGTCGAGCGAGAAAGCTCTTCGTGTAAAAAATTGAGTAATCCGAATGTTAGAGACGCGGCGGGCTCGAACGCGCGAATCGAGGGGGATTATAAGTTACTCGGGAGATTTGTATCGGAACTCTCTCCGCGGCTTCCGAAGTTTCAAGCAGCGGAGGAATCGTCGGGAACCGTGGGTGGGATTTCTTCGTGTGGAAATTTCTCCGGCCGTAAGAAAGATAGCTCTGTACTGTCTTCTTTGTCGAATAGTGCACCCGCTTAGGTGGTCCCCAATCGATGTGTCGTTTCGATACTTTACCTCGTTGCGTAGTTATGCGGTCTGACGTTAAATCAGCAAGACGCATCTAGCAAATAGGGATAAAAGAGAGAAAGAGAAAGAGAGAGAGAGAGAGAGAGAGAAAGAGAGAGAGAGCGAAAGTGGCCGGTGAATGAGCATGTGTGATGCGGTGGAGGTGTGACAGATGTAACGGATCGCGCGGATTTTCCTAGCCCGTACACCTTTCTTTTCTTTTCCCTTTTCCCGTCATTTTCCATTAAGCGGCTGATTGTGTGAATAGTAGTGAGTAGTAGTAGTGCTTGAGCGAGCATTCGAACGCCTTTTAACCCTTCGCACTTGAAGCGCCAATCCGATTATCTTTTGTTTTTATCCTCATCACATTAACGCAATCGAGCGCCGAGAGAGCGGGGATTTTTCCGAAAATTCCACCCCGAGTCAACTCGATTTCCGTCCGTCGCACTATTCCCGCCGATTGGAACGATTCAAACGGCATATTTTTTTCATATTTCATGTTAAGCAATAAATCCAACGTTTGAATCGACGAAAATAAATGTAAAATTTTCACCCGAACAACAACAACAGAGCGAGCGCTCGCTCCGTATGCATGCGTGCGCGCGTATATTACGCGTGTGTGTAAGTATATTACACAAAAAATATGCGTGATTTCGCGGCTTTCTGGGTAAATCGACCGATAGCGCGCGGGCGTGGCGCACATGCGAAGGATTAAATGCTGCGTGTTCTCCGGCGTGTGAAATGTGTCGACGGGTCCGATTCGAGGGGAGCGCATTTCCACCGCGAGCACAGTATCGCATCTTCGGGAAAGCGTTCTCGATCGATCGATCGCCCGTCGTTTGGAGGTAGAGAGAAAAAAAAAACAATCACTTAATTACTCGAGGACGACGCGCATCCAGGCGGAATACGGAAGTGCCGTGAAGTGCAAGAGAGCAAAATGACGTGAGGCGCAACGTGTGAGTGCCTACATAGAGTGCATCTCTTCGTACTTCGCCCTTCGCGTGTCTGGTTAGAGTTGAGAGAGATAAAAAAAAGAGGTCAGCTGGTACATTACGAATCTTTCTAAACGTATACCTTCCCCCGATCGCCGACGGAAGTGCGTTTGTTTGAAACCTTGTCCGTCGTAGAGGAACGGATCCGGTCGGTAATGTGCGTTAAAATACAGGTAGCATCGAGATAACGATTAAACTAAATTACATCTTTACACGATTCTCCGCAGCGATTAACCCTTTCAGTTGTAGATTATCCGACTTCCACTCTCGCCGATTCGAAGAGCGCATTTCGAAGTCGAACGTGAGCCGTCGAGCCCCGAATTTCGCGCGCAGATGAAAATTACGTTTCACCGTGGAAATGACGCGGCAATCTACTTTACTCGTGATTCTCGTCGAAGTATTGTGCAGTAAGTCTTATAACAAATCGACGCGGTGACTTTCTCACAAATACGACTAAAGGCGATATGAGTAATATCAGTCGTTAGTGAGCGGCTCACGCCGGCACTAATATCGCGAAAGTCGATTGTGAACGGAAGACTAATCGTCTCATCTTACCGACGAAATAACACTCGTCCGACACGTCGAAAATGACGACGACCAAAAGGGTTAACGACAGCTGTCGGTGGTGGTACAACGCAGCTGCGAAAGCCGCGCGGATCGTAAATCACGAGCGCGCGGATGTAACTGATGTTACGAATCCGCGCGCGCGCGCGCGCTCGTGATGTGACCTCCGCGTGAAATCGCAGCGTGCGCGTACCGTCTTTTACCTGATTACAGAGATTTTCATTGACGCTCCCCGGCAGAGATCTGAAATGAACGGCGCGAGTCGCACGATTCCGCGCGGCTCGCGCTGAGAGAAGGAGCGGGCTGGGGGGACGTAAGAGGGGTACAAAGTAGCCAGCAACCGCGTTACACCAAACCCCGAGGCCAGATAAGAAGCACGGAAATCACCACTGTTAGTAGGAGGTCTTGCGGGCGAGCGTGCTCGCGAGAGTGCGAATTCGAGTTGTGTTCGTGCTGTGCCTGCCTTCCGCCGCGTTATTTACAGAAAATGGGGGACACGTCGAGCGTAATCTCGATTCGGTAATCCGGAAAGGACGTCTCCGGTCGAGTTCATCTCTCGAAAAAAAAAAAAAAAGAGAAAATATGGGGCAGAGAGAGAAAGAGAGAGAGAGAGAGAGAGAGAAAGTGGGAGAAAAAGGAGCAGACTCTTTTGAATCGTTGGAAACTAATTGATCTATCGAGCGCTACACTTTAATTTACTCGGCCTGTTACACTCGAGATTATTCGGTGCTCCTGCTCGAGATTCTCAAAAGATTGCAGTTATCCGTTACTTGATATTTCAGATAAGAAATGTTGAACGATGTCAAGAGAGAGAGAGAGAGAGAGAGAGAGAGAGACAACCTTAATTGGAAGTACAACAAGGTCGTATTAACGAAGTGCTCGAATTAAATTGAGATCAAGAAGAAGAAGCGGCGATTCTCGTTACCTCTGTAACAAGCGTAAAACGATACGTTTGATATTAATCGGCAATCCAGTTAGGGAATTTCGTTTCACTAAAATTCTTGCAGCAATTCAGAGTAAATAAGTAACGGTGGAACGCTCGAGTGCAACGAAAAATTTCTCGCGGTGTGTGTTACGTGATTTTAAATATGATAAAATATTTATTATTACGAGCTCAAAATTTTCATCTCGTTGATTTGCAAATCTCAAATTGACTTTTTTAATAAAAAAAAAAAAAAGGTATCTGGTTGTAAGTAAACGCGGAATAAAGAGTGAAGGAAATGTGTGCAGAGCTTTGCGTTTAAATTGAATGGAAAATTTATCAAATTTTACGAGAGAGAGAGAGAACTTTCATTTGAAGTCAAGTCAGCGGGATACAATCGATACCAAAAATCGGAATTTTATTTTTGAAGAAAAGGCTTGTTTCCAAACGTTATGTAGTTTCTATATTTGTGGAAATTTTTAACATTAGTATTTTCTTCCGCTAACGTTCCTCCACAGCGTACATGAACACGTTCAACAATCTCTCTTCCGAATACATTTTTTGTTTTGCTAGTTTCTCTCTCTCTCTCTCTCTCTCTCTCTCTTTCTCTCTCTCTCTCCCCCTCCCTCTCTTCTCACTCTATTTTGTTGGCCAATTCTCTACGACTCTCTGAGCGCGACAGGGTCGAAAGAGCCGAACGGTTCGTTAAATACCTTTTAGCCCGCCGTTCTGCGAGTCAGTTTTTGAAGTGACTTACTGATAACACAAAAAAAGCTTTCGAGCACACGTCGGTTTCGAACGTTAAAGTCAGGTGTACGCTTATTACAAACATTCTTCAAAGCTGTTTTGCAAAAAAATATAACTTTTATCCAGTCATGGTAACTTACTGTCAATTTGGTTTATAGAATATTCGAGAAAAAAATGTTTATATTCACTTAAGCGTTATTGCATGATACTGTTGCAAATCACTTTTGAAAAGTAAAGATCTCTGAATTTACATAAATTTACATCTTTATGCGCGACATTTACGCGCTTTGGATTTTCGTTGTTTCATCGTACTAATTTGAACGTCACGTCATACGCGCGAAATTGTGATCTGAACAGCCACGTTTTACATTAAACGCGTAACTGTAACACGAACCGAGATCTATTTATACGCGCCGAGAGAATCGAGAGAGACAGACGGAAACAATGCGAGTCGCATGGGAAAACTGAGACTAGTCTTGACGACGTTTCGGTCGTGCCGTGGACAAGCTTGAGGGAAGGCAGGCTTGAATTTCTGAGCGGCAGGCAAAAAGTGAGCAATAATAATTATTAATAACAGACGGGTCACGTGTATTTGTTACTTGCAGAGCGAGAAAAGAATGTAGAGGAAATCAAAAAGGGAGGGAGGGAGAGAGAGAAAGTGAAAGAGAAAGAAATGCAATTTCCCGATACTCGGGAATCACTTTAATTCTTCGAGACATACGCGACTTTGTTACGTATGTGCTTGTTTGGCATTATCTGTACAGTGCCGGGAAATGTGATTGATTACGCGTCTCGCGATAACCAAGTATTGCCACCGTCATTGCTGTATGTTGAAAAAATGTGAGAGAGGGGGCGAGGAAGACGCACGTTCCCCTTGTCGACTCCTACTTCAATTTTGCCGCTACTCCGCGAGAAGATGCAGTAACCAATATTCCCGTGAAAGTGGAAGTATATTGAGTTTTTGCAAATATCGAATGTGTCTCTGTAGCGTGTCCAAGTGGAATTCAATTGATTAACCAGCTCTCGCGAAATCAGATTCGAGATAATTGATTTTCCTTCCCCGATAGCCCCGTATGAAAAGCCCTAAGTCTCTTTCTCTCTCCCAGAGCAACGTCACATCGTGTCATTTAAATGTATTACTCTATATTACTTCGCCACGCATATTTTCAAGTTACAAGAATAAGTTCTCATTCGATTGAACACGGCTAACGTTCGCCAATCCAGGGCACCGAGAGTTGAGGAGATAAAAAGGAAAGCGCGATGCGATATTTGCAAAAACGTTTGCGAGAAAACGTCCCGGTTATGAAGCGCGATGAATGGCCAAACTTCCGGAATATCGGTCACTGTTAACCCCGCGGAGCGCGAACAGCTCCCTTTCTCCGCTTCGTTATCCGCGTATCTCGGTTTGGTGTATAAGCGGCGTTTGGATACCTTGCTGAGCGGGATGCCTATTGTGGTTGCTAGGTGCCATCATGTGCATCTGGTGTGCCCCGACCGGCGACCTCAGCGACAAATTGTTCAGGTTCACGTTTATCGAAAGATTCGTATTGTTACAGGTGGCGGTCAGGTTGTTGTGATTGTTCGGCGGTGACGTGGCGCCGCCGGCGTTGGTACCCACATGGTTGGCGTTGCTGGCCGCGTGGGGCGACAATCCGGAGCTGTCGGTCGTCGGGGCCGACGGGTTCGACGAGGTGTTGTGCGAGGCGAAGTCCTTGCCGCCGTTGGCGCCGCCGGCGCCGCCGCTGCCGCCGGTGGAGCCGGCCGAGCCGCCCGTCACCGTCTTCGAGCATCTCAGGCACTTCGGCAGCCAGGAGTGGCGGCGGACGAACTTCCGGTACTCCTTCCTCACCTGAAAGAGCGAAACAGAGGCCCACCCGACCCAACGAAACGTGTTTAACGGTGCGTGAAAGAACTAAGGCCCGTGCGAGATAGCGTGCGAGATGCGTCGGCCGCATCGAGTACTACGCGCGGAGATTGCGGACGGCCTCGTAAGATCGAGAAGAATCGCCGAAGGAACGAATTCGCTGATGATACCGAAGTAGAAGCTTTTCCACACTTCCCCTTTATCGGCTCTGCCATTCGCTGATTTTGGCGAGATGCGTAATCAAAAATGTCGACTCATCACTAATAGCAGAACCGCCGCAAAGGTTGTCTTCGTATTCCAATATTTCGCACAGATACTTCGTACGAGAAAATGTGATTTGATAAAATTACGATTAAAACACTTGAAGAAGGTGTAACGAACACATATATTTCTTTCGTCCCTTCGATTGCAACTCGATCGTGGCTCGCGTTGTAACGCTCGCCTTCAGGCAAGTTTGAGGAGGCCGTCCGCGACGATTCGTGAGTATACAGTGCGATCCATGATCGGAGAGCAAACCTAGTGCCGATTTTAACGAGAAATTAAAATAACAGCGGTGCTTTTCGCGGTGGCAATAAAAAAAGGAAACAGAGTCAAATTCTCAGGTAACAAGACAACTATAACAAGCGAACTACGGGTAGCGAGAACGCGCGTAAATAAACGGCCAATTACTTGTATTGCCACAGCACTTTATTAAACAGATCATTTTTTTTCCCATCTCCATGTTCTGCGCTTATATTCGTGAGCGGAACAGTACGACGTTATTGTTAACATGACTACATCGTCTCGACGATGATATTGATTAGCATCGATTGCATACAATCGGCGGTATAATACGTTTATATAAACTTATGCGCTAAAAAGTTCTCGGAATCTCGGAAAAATACACATGAAAATTTATTACACATAAAAACGGAAACGACGGTAATAACGGCTCATTGCAACTCGCAAATCTCACTCTCTGTAAGGAGCGATCGAAGAAGGCTCGCATCAATTTTTCCCAGGCAACGAAACACACGTAGTACACGCGCTTTGCTTCGCGAGTCACCTCCAAAAAAGAAGGATTGGAGGAGAGATCAAGCCTCGCGGAGGAAACCGTGCGTATCGACGCGAAATCAAGTTGCGTTCTCGCGCGAAAGGATCCTTCTTACTACACGCGTAGGTAAAAAAAACCGCAGCACATATCTTTACGAAGGATTTCTTTTCGAATTTTGTTGTCTGTACTTCTCTCTCCGGGATACATATCCGGCGTTGTAGCCGGCGCGCGATCTAAATCAAGGCGGACTTCTGCGCCCCGACGTATTCCCTTACCTTCTCGTTCTGTACGCAATGGAACACAAAGATAAACAGCCCCTGGAGACTATTCAATACGGTGAAGATGTACGCCATCACGACGGACTCCTGGTTCAAGTAGAGGAGCCCGAACGTCCAGGTCAGACCTAGTAGAAACACCAGCACGATAGCGCCCCGCAGCCAGGCCCTGATCAGAAGATACAGAATAATAAATTACATCGGCGAACGGCGAGCCAGCCTTCTGTTGTAACAATACAAATCGCGACGGCGGCGCTTAAAGAGGACCGACGTATCCCCGAGAGCGCGGCGGCTTTAACGGAGGCGCGATGTCGAAGTCTCTCGTGAACGTCGTCGCGCGCGCGCGCGCTCCGCGAAATTTCGGGATTGATCGCGCTGCTATTCGAGTTCTCCGGATCGTCCCGGCGAATTAGCGAGCGACCGGAAATAATAGGTGAACCGACCGTTTGGTCTCTGGTAGAAATAAAAGCGAGATATATTTTCCGGGATAAAAAGGAAAGAAAAGACAGTGCCAATGGCGAAGCTCGGGGCATTTTCGCCTTTATACGGGGTGGTCGACAATTATCTTTGAATCCGTGCAAGTAGAACGGATTAAACTGAAACAGGAAAATCATGCACCATTCTGCAAAATTCGCGACAGTTAATGAGAAATTAATTAATCACGATGGGCATTTCCATTCTCCCGTTATCAATATTTAATATAGTAATGCTTTGCTCCACAGCTTTTCTAATTCTTTACTTGGTATTACCAAACAAAAGAGCATAGAAAACTTTCTTGATTACATTGAATTTATATTGATGCAAGGATTTTTTCACCCAATTCAAGATTAAAAATTTTCTAAGAAGATTATAATATTCTTGCTTATATTTAGGAATATCTATTCGTGATTTAAGACTAATTTGTTTTCCGTGAGCGAATGAGCGTACGGGAAACGGTAGACCGGATTCCGTAGGTAAGATGGCTTCGAGTATGTAAAAGAATAGCTTACTTCTTAGGATCTCCTAGCAACGGCAATTGACAAATTTCGGGAGGCGGAATAAAGCAGCTTATGTTTCACGCTGCTCGCTGCTCCCTGCGTTACCCGGCCTCCCGAAATCAGCTATCACTCACCGTTGCTACGAGATCCTAGGGAGTAAGCCATTTTTCTTACATATTCGAAGCTATTTTTCTTTGTACATACCTACGAAGCCCGGCTTACCGCTTCCCGTACGCTCGTTCGCTCACACAGATTAATTAATTATCCACTAATTATTGGGAATTTTGTAAAATGGTACGTTACTTTCCTATTCAGTTCAACCCATTCGAAACATTCCGGACACCCTGTATCTTCGCGCTCGCGTCGAATCGAGAGACAGTCTTAGCAACGCACGATTCCATTAACCGCTTTCGCGGGAAGTCGCGTTCGCTTACTCCGTTTGAAGGGCGCTTTTTTCTTAATAATTTCCTCCGTTCCTTCATAAATTATTTTCTTTCTCGTGGAAGGAAACGATTACGATTGATTCCAAGCTGCCTCGCTCGATCGCTCGCGCTAATGCTCGGCATTAGTATATCGCGACGTCGAAAGGGGGGGGAAAAAATAGCGCGACCGTCACGTCATGTGGCGTCCGTCGTCGTCGTCGTGAGGCACGCGACGCTTCGCCCCGCGTCGCCGGGGTGACGTTTAAGTATTGCGACATTATACTCCGGGGCTTTTATTTTCGCGAGCAACGCGACCGCCGCTTTGAGCGTCGCCGGGATCGCGAGACGTCTTATCTAAACCGTTGTGATTAGAACGTGGCGTTACACAGGTAGGCGGATATATCTCTACGGTACTTCCACGTCTATCTACTTGTAAATCAGGCGTAATACCCGAAACTAAGGAGAATACTACATGCAGCGAATCGTCGTGTCTACTCAGAGGAAGTGCAAGTGACAGGATATAAATATAACACAGATGACATCTCAGTCAGTATGTATAATCGAACGTCGACTTTGGCCATTAGAGGAACGTCGCGGGTCGACGTTGAAAATTTCCCTCGTGACACAATTGAGAGCTCGGTTAGAAATGCGACCGTTCTCTCGGGCAAAAATGGTTTTCACCTCTATCGTTTTAATAGCTTCGCTCGAGACATGAGCAGCACAAATGATCTATAGTGAAAGTATATTAATTATAAAAACATTGCACTCTATTATTAATCACATAGATGTGCGAAGATATTCATGTTGCGACATAAGCGAACGATAAGTCAAGACAAATGGAGACTCAGATCGTGAGACAGACAATAATATTACAAATGAAGGAGGAAGTGCACAATTATTGTATATCGCCTTTCAATTTAATTCTTATAAATAATTATAAATAACTGTTTTGACTTCTCGTCGTGGTATATCATCAATTTGAAATGTGTCAGAATAATATATACATATTGATATTATACAGAAGCCGACTTTCTCATAGCCTTGATATGCAAAATTAGGTCGCTAATTAGGCATCGCGTCTATTAACTTGACTTTGAAGTTCATAAGCGTCAAACATACACAGCGTGCCGTTGTCACACACTTATTCCTTGAACTGCTGTAACAATTAATTATGTTACGTGCGTGAACACTTGCAAAGCTGCTGTAAATCACATTTCCTGTGAGTATCACGGTATCACGAATACGGCGAGTGTTCCGATGTGATGATGTGATAGAGACTAAAGTCTACGGGCTACGTTCACAAAATCAGTGTGGATATGATACTCGGATAGCTCAATCAAAATGAAGTGTGGACCAAAGGAGGAGAGAAAGAAAGAGAGAGAAAAAAAAACTTCAAAATAAGACGGAATGGTAACGAACGAGACGAGCGGATGGCGATTAGTGATGATGTTAACGGTATATGACGGGTGAGTAATAATAAAAATGGTAAATATCTTACAAGTGCGCTTGCAATTTGTTGGGAAGAGCATTCTCTTCCTTTCCACTACCAACCAACCACGCCATGCAGAAGAATGTAGAACAGTGTAGACAGAAGTGGGTAGAAGATTTAATACAAAAAATGAAACAAGACAGCAGTTAGGTGATTGTTCCGGCACCATTAATTAATTGATTATAGCTTATTCTCTGACTTTGCAATGCTCGATTCGCATTACTTTCCGCCGAGCGCGGCGTTCCCTCACTCGGCACAAGAAAAAAAGAAAAATGAAAGAAGGAAGGTTACACAAAGGTTGAAATTCTTAAACACATCGCGAGAAACGTCATCCGCAATAATCCGAATCGGGATTGCAACAAATTCTCTTTCTTCTTTTCACTACCATCACCAAATCGTTCATACAGTTTTCTTCAAAGTTTCGTAAAAATCGAAGAGGTATCTATCCGCTCTTTTTTTTCTTCTCTTCTAATAATAATCAACAAAGATTTACCGGCTATGTTTCCGTAAACAAGACCCGTCACTTAAACGCGGCGATATACCGGGTGTTCCCCAGGAAAGAACGAATAAGTTGAAAACAACACAATTCTACAATGCTTTACTCATACGGTTATCTATGAAGTCTATCGAATTAAGGATTCACAGATACAACGACCCGTGGGATTCGAAATCTATAAGAGACGGTAACAGATCTATGAGAGCTAATGGAAAGCTACGGACTGGAAAAATCTCGTGCCTTTAAGACGTTCAATCGACGATCACTACGACTTGTTCGAAATCTGCTTCTCGGTGTGATACTTATCTTAGCCACGAGACACGGAATCGTTTTCGAAATCGAGAATCTCACGAAACCGGAGAATCGGTGAATCTACGCAACTTGTGGTCCGTACCACTGAAAACCACTTTCGACAGTCATCTCGGACGGACTTTTTCGGCGCACCCCGCATACGTACACAACAGTCTCTGCATGACAATATCGAACGGATATACTCGTGTATATCTTAAATGACAATATATCATAGCAATACAGTGGTGTGTCGAACGAACGAAATCTGCGGTCATTCCAAACACAGGACTCATAAAACCAAAACCAAAAAAGTCAGCATGGCCGCCAAAAAGATGCGTGACAACAAGATCCGCGTTCGGGAGATCTCTTTAAAGCGAGTAAAGCTTGCGAACGTGTAAACCGAAAGCACCAAACAAACATCTCGACTGCTACGCTTCGACGGGAGGATCAAATCTCGAACGTGACGGACAACGGACGGACTCTCGACTGGTAATATATGTATATATAGATATATATATATATAGATATGTACGGCATATATATATACAGTTCGCAATTCACGGTGTGGTGGTTTACTATGAACAGGCTACGAGGGACCACTTGTGCTTACTTTGCGCTAGCTAAGCGGGAGTGCTCCTTGCTCTTCATCGCCACGGTGGTGTTTGTGTGCCGGCACATCATGTAGATCGCCATCGTCAGAAACACCAGATTCGCCTGCGAACAAAGGCGGATTAAATCAATCATCGTTTCATTCCCCGGTCGCCGTACGATCAAGTTAAAGTCGCCCTGAAACGACGTGTGGACGCAAACTGGGGCACGAACGATCGCGAGAGCGAATGACTCCAGTGTCGGTTTTTTGATCAGAGTCGATCGATCGTTCGCCTTGTTTAGCTAAGTTAATAATGAATTTTAGCTAGTTACCAGTATAACGAGTAACACGGGCCCAACGAAGCTGAAGATGAAATAATTATCCGCCCGTAGCCAGCAGTACTGATCGGTACCGTAGCTGAGTGGATCGATTATGCACGAAATTCCAACCACCAACAGCGGTGCGCCATATGCAACCAGATAGTACCATCGGAGCCGAGATTTTTCCGCCTCGAAAACCTCAATCAGCATCACGTATAATTGGAATCCTGAAACGTGACGTGTAATCCCGTGATTGTATACTCGCAGCAATGTAAATACCGCGCCTATCGTAAATGTATACACACCTAAAAAGCTATAATTATGTAATAGGAGTGTCGCGTGTTGTTTATTGTTATTTCACAACGAATTATAAATGCGGCTCGTCGCGGTGCGACTCGACCATCAACGACAGAGGGTTCTCTTATAGAACCACCGCAGTTTTGTTATGGAGTTCTTTCGCGAATAATAATACAGTAATACGCACGAAATTCTCATTATCTATACACAGAATTCGCCTTGCCGGGGATTTCTCGACGAGATCCAATGAGATTCATCGTATAGTTTCGTAATATAGAATTATTACGAAATCATTAATTTTTTATAACGTAATTTGCACACGATATAATAGGTAACGGAAAAGTTGCCGTCTTGCCTTTGATTAAAAATGACAAAAATGTGAACTAACCTTCGAGGAACATCCAGGCGAACGCGCACAAAAAGAAGAAGTGCAGCAAGCCGGCGACGATGCCGCAGACGACCCTCTGGTTCGTCTGGCCGATCCCGCAGACGAAGAGTACCTCGGCTATCAGCAGGCACACGCAGAGGTTCTTGTGGATCGTCGTTCTGTCCGACTGCAAGCGGGATCGCCGTGGGTGAGTCGAGTGAGACAAAAAGTCTCGTCGTTCCGCCACAATTCGCGACCGCCGATCGATCGATCGATCGCGCGCGCATACATTACCTTCAGCCCGCGAAATAATTGAAACGTGAGAATGGCCAGGATCAGGCAGACGACGGAAATGATGCAGCCTATGTACGTGATGATCTGCAGCGCGACCTGATGAGCGATGTCCAACCTGACGGCGTGCACATCCATCAGCACGGCGAAGTTCGTCAGGTGATTGCACTCGCACACGGTGTGAGTCTCGTTGGTCTTCTGTATGTGGCATCCCTCCTCCGACCAGGCGCTACGGGAAATAAGATATCGCGTGCAGAACGCGCATTGTGTTAGCGCGCTGTCGATCGTTTTCCAGCCGACGAGAGGCGCGTAGATATTCGCGCGATCGGCAATTTCCCGGCCGATTTGCGGACGGTTTCTCCTCGTCAAAGAATCACGAGAGAGTTCACGCGGCACTGAAGGGCGGGTGATTTTAGCGAATTGCACTGACCACGATACGGGTGAATCGCATCTCGAGACCTTATTCTTTGGTTAATTTCAAGTAATCCGTTCGATCGAGTATCAAGTTTCGCGCGTTCAAGTTCTTCGATCGAGTTCGGCCAATCACGCGAATGAACCAGCGAGAGATAAATTTTATTTCCCTTCTCGGCGATGCGCATCGCGAATGTACTACATTGAGTTTCCAGACAGTTTGGAGATGTTTAACGAGAGAACTTGTTTCTCAAAAACTGGACCGTCGGTTGTGTTTCTAAACTGCGTCGAGAAAGAAGTTCAAACCGTTTTGAGACTCGGCACTGTACGAAGCGGCGCGGAAAGCGCGGGGAGAAAATTGGAAATGGAGAAATAAAGAGAGGACGTCGCGAGAGACGTTGTCCAGGATGGTAACAGAATCGGCGGGCGAAGAAGAAGAAGAAGGGCGAAATTACCTCAAGATGTAATCCCAGAAGACGCAAGTAGGGTTGGTGACGTTCTCGACCGCCAGGTGTCTGAAATACACTCGGACGGGCTCCGAGAGTTGTATGTGTCGGCCTTTTCCCAAAGATGCCGAGATAACTTTGCTGTTGAGGAGCCTGGTGGCGTTCCTACGCTGCTGGGAATTGCCGTTCGTGACGACGGACGGCGGTTCCGCTTGCGGCTGCAGTATCTCCTCGAGCCTGTCAAAGGCCATGAAGACCAGCCGTACGATGCCGGACTGGCTGTTGTCCAGCAGAGCGGCCCTGGTAAGTTCTACGCGATCGTTCGAGACGGTCCACTTCTGCAGGGCGGCCTCGCTCGGGAAAACTTCCAGCTCGTTGTCGATGTTGCGCGCGTCCAGTACGCGAACTTCCATCACTGTGGTGGAGACACGCACGTGGGGTAATTAGGCGAGTAAGTTTACTTCTCCCTCTCTCTCTCTCTCCCTCGGCGCGGTTAACGCGCTCCACGAGGATTCGCGGAAGACGCAAATTACATTAACGGCAGGACAGCGGCTCTCGAGGTCTCGTGTGTGTGTCTGCGTGTATGTGTGTGGCAGACACTCGAATGCACCCCGAGAGATTAACGTCTATCTTTTCTCCAGTATCCAATAAATTAATTTTCTTTTTAATAAATCAATCACTCTTAATAAATAACTTAACAAACAACGATCCCCGGTGATATCCTGGCCGAGGCGGGATCGGCGGGCCGAATCACGCGAAGAAACGCGTTTGATTTTCTCGCCGCGCGAGGAAGTTCTCCGCATTCCGCCGCAAAATGAACGATTAAAGAGGCCCGATCGCGCTATCAAACAACCGCCGGGAAGGAGGACTTAATGCGCTTTCGATTTTTCTTCCGCGAGACGGAGGACGTTGCGCAGCATCCGACCGGCTGTCGCTCATCAACTACCCCCTTTGCCCTCTCCCGCTCCCCTCCTCCTCCTCTTGGCACTTTTTGCTCCTCGTTATGCAGTTTATCAGGAGTGCATCTGATGACGCTACGATGCGCACGTATACACCGTGCGCGGCTCAATCGAGCCGCGACGCACTTCCGGGAAGTAAATCAAGTCGCCCGTAATTCTACCGCCGTTTTGTAATAATAATAGCTCGCGCCGCATACCCGGCCGGATTACGTTGTAATCCGGCCGGGTACGCGGAGAATTACGATGGATTCGGATCTGTATTTTATCTATACCGGAGATTACCGGGTGTTGGGTGAGCGCGAGCGATATAAATCATTCGATCGGGCCGCGCGACGAGCGCCGAAGGCGAACGGAATGGTGCGTTCGCGTTGCGTGACTTTCGAAACACGCCGGGGCACACGAGAATGGAAGCGGAGAGGGAGGAGAGGGAGAGAGAGCGAGGGTGGAGCGACAATTCTCTAGTTGAAGATATATACTCGAGTATACCGCCGGGAATTCCGAGTTGTTCGACGCGAGAAGGGCGTGAAACGGATAATTAGCACTAACAGATTAAATCGCTCGCGATTTACCGCCCGATGGTGATAATAAATCGAAGAATTACCGAGCAGGAATTCGCAGCCTCGAGAGATGTGCTCTTTTTCCTCTCGCCCAGATAATGATCTGCTTCTTTTCGTTTTTTGTCTCGCGCGTTCTGAATTCACGCTCGACAACGACGTAACGGTAAGGCCCGTGCAAAAAGTGCACTTCTTCTTCTTTCCGGGCCGCGATCCTATTCAGCTTCGCGTTAAACACGGGGAGGTGCAAAAAGGAGCGAGCGCGAGCATATTCAAAATTGTATCCTGTAATTACTTACTACGTACCGTAAGTGGCGAGAGATGACAACTTAATAAAGACGGTATTGAGGCGCTTGATGACCCGGCGTGTCCGGAGATGCACACGCGTAATGAGAATGCATATTCCGGTAAGTCGCCGCGGCAATTACCAATAATCGTTGACAGTACTCACAGATGTTTTTGTCCTCGTGCTTGATGGTCTTCTCGTGCATAAGCGTGTCCGCCAATAGGAAGGCGTTCTCCTCGAGGCCGATCAGCAGCGACGTGGCGACTCTCATCTGATCCTTGTGATCGAGATCCTTCCAGGACGCCATTTGCGACTTGTCGAGAAGATTGCTGCTGGTCCTCACGACGCCCTGCAGCAGCTCGGTGACGCTCACCTCTCTCTGATTCGGATCCTGATACGTCCTGATGTCCAGGGCCATCTTTTCGGCCATGTTCTTGATGATCTTCGCGGTGATCATCATGTCGCCGCCGTACAGGCCGCGGCTGTTGTTCGTCACCTGCGAGAGCTCCCGGCTGATGCCGAGGATCACGTCGCCCTCGCTCACGCGGTTCTCCAGGGTGGTCAGCCAAACGGACCGGCACTCGCTCAGGTCCGGACTGTCGAGGTGCCAGAAGGCGGTGTCGTCGCGCACCAGACACCGCCACCTGGCCAGACCGTTCGCGCCGCCCGGGCAGCTCTGCACGGCGATGTCGCCGGCCCTGGTCGTGTTCCACGACAGGTTCCTAGCCACCACCGGGGGGCACACCTGTCTGCCGTAGTCGTACCACTGGCCGTTCGAGCTGGACTCCGGGTACAGTGTGCTGGGTACTGGAACAATATACCATCGTGCGCTCGATCACGCTCGGGTCTCAAGTAGCCGGCTCCGGTTAACGGCCGCTAAACGGCCCGGCTAATGCGATACCGGCGTCGCGACGTCCTCGGGGACGAACTCGGCGTGCAACGACGCGCTGCAAATGGAATTTCGGCTCTCCCTCTCTCGAGAGACAATACGCGGACTACCGCCGGAAACGGACGCGCTCGTCGTGAAGCGATCACGCGGAACGAGGAAGAAAGGGAAATAAATAAATAAAAAGGAAAGATCCGAAACTGGTCCGTCTCTTGACACCTGATCGCGCGATCACGACGACCGTAATGCCCGAGTTCGCTCATCCATCACGCTTACGGCGCCGCTGCTGCGACACGAGCGTCTTATCCTCGGACACGCGAGATGTTTGATAATACGGCAATACGAGCGGAAAATAGGATACAGTTTGTCACCGTGTAAGATTGTTGCTACGGTTGTCGTACACGATCGTCGGACGCACTAATTGACTATCGACAGGGCAGCCAGAGCATCTCAGGTATTGCCCGTACGACGGCCGAAGGCACGCCGGACGATCTTGTCGGACAAGTGTTCGTAACGGGACCGTGCGAGTCGGGGGACAACTATTTCCCCGAGAATGTGATTCCGCTTTCGAAATGTTCGCGGCCCCAGGGGGGTTTCGTCGCGCGAGTAAACAGCGCGCGGCCATTCGGTCGTATATTTATTTAGAAGCGTAATAAGCGTTCTCCCGCCTCTCTTTTCTCTTCCGAAATGACTCAGGCCACGTACGCGGCCCGAGAGAGATCGACTCGTCGTTATCCGACGTGGCGCGCGCTATATCAATGTCTAATGTTTCCTCAGATGACGGGGGAAGGGAACTTACCGGTGGTCCTTCGACTGGTTCTCCATGGAGAGAAGGTGGACGTTGTCGTGGCTTGAGTGGTCTCAGGTATAATCGGCGGTATCGCCGGACCATTCGCCGGTGAACCGTTCGCGGGAGGTATTAAGCCCTGGTCCTGCTCGTCGACCTCGATTTCGGCGAAGGGCCTCGTCGACGTGGGGCTGCAAACGGCGGACGATCGTTATTCTCAATGGCCCTCCGGATGCGGGACTTTACGACGACGATCGCATCTTGGATCTTAGTCGCGCCCGATACGAATTAACGACGGTGAGGGCAAATGTTTGTTCTCCCGATACACGTATGACGATTGAACGAGATCAATGGCCCCGGCGATGAGGTGCGAGGCGAAGACACATTTTCCTCGCTCCTCGACGCAACCGCGTTACTCGTTCCGCTGCTTCTTTATGAACACGCGCGAATCATACGACGGTAATCCGTGCGAGTGAAACAGCGAGCGTAGATGGCAAAATCGACGATGTCAGATATTAATCTGCTCTTCCTCTTTCTCTCGAAAAGATTGAATCTTTTTACTATTCCGATCTCTCGTATACACGCAGAAAATACAGCGAGTAAACTGTGGCTTTACACACACAAACGTGATTTCAAATTCACTTATCCCCTTCTTGGGGGATGCTGGAAATAAACCGCGCTCGTCTATAAGTAAGCGTCTTATTTTAAAGCAACGTTCGAATCGTTCGCCATTTAACCCGCTAAACGTCCTGTACATCTTAGATTCCGTTATTTTCTTATATTTATGTGGCGGACTAACCTCGCCGGTGTCGTTATAGGCAACGTTGGAGTGGACGGCGCTGGTGGCTGCTGGGGCGGCTGCTGCGCCGCCGGTGTCGTAATCCTCGAGGGAGGCCTGACGGTCGGCTTAGCGGTGCTCCAGACACTCGGCTGCGAAGTTATGAACCACGGTGGACTCGGCCGGGACGTCGTCGTGGTGGTGGCTGCTGCAAACGTTTCGTCGAGATCGTTTTAACGAGAATGAAGGGAGGATCGACGAGACGTGAGACAGGTGAGGCGAAGCGTGGTGAGAGGAGGACACAAACTGAGGAGCTTTCGCATGGGAACGGAGGATTGGGAAACTCGTTCTCCCGACCGAGCTTATCGGTTCTCGAAGACTGTAAGAGTATAATTAAGAAGGAAAGTGATTTCGCAGGCAGGGAATGCGGGGATATTTAAAGCTTTCGAGAGGTCTCCCCGGCTTAGAGGAATATCGAAGTGGGCCTCTCTCTCTCTCTCTCTCTCTCTCTCTCTCTCTCTCTCTCTCTCTCTCTCTCTGTATATGTCTCTTTCTGTCTCTCTTGCGCGCGGTTTGATACGATATGGGGGCGGAAGGCGGCGGCTTATCCTCCGCGTCGAATTTATATCGGACTCTTGTTAATCATTCGATAGAGTTTGAATGAACTGTCTGTACTTTGCGTATATTTCCAATAGACCGAAGGGAATGAGATATCCGCGCGGCTCGGAGGATATCGAGTTACTTTCTCCTCTGTTTTTCTTGGCTCGCTACGTTGGTAAGGGCTTATCCGCTGTATCGGATTTATACCGGATTCTTGTTAATCGTAATCATTCGATAGAGCTTGAATAAATCTCCTTTTGAGAACGGCGGGAGATACGGAGGTTGATATGGTGAATACAATAACATGGGAATTTTATCGCCGAAGATATTCTCTCGATGCGGTTATAAATGATCGAGATATTTTTACCGGAACGGAAATTGAATAAATCCCATTTTAACGAAAAGAGATCATAAAGAAATATAATGGTCTTTCTCGACTTGTGACCAGTTGGATGATCTATCGCAGAGTTTTATTGAAATAATAAAAAAAATATTATTAGCCAGGAGAAGCGTGCACCATTAATACCGCCGAATATTTTTAATGAAGCTCTTGTCCGTCTACAAAAGCTCAGTTGACAACACAGCGGCAAAGATGGAGTTTAACAAAAATTTACTGCGCGTTCTTCGTAAAATGTCTCGGCGTTTATATGTTTCGAGCAAACGTGATTAGAAATTTTGTGGATAATCAATTCGCGTATAAATCGTTCGTGAGAAGAACATTTCGCGAATAAATGCTTCGAAGAAACGAAAGAGAAAGACACACACACACACAGAGAGCGAGATTAGACTGCACAGCTCAATATCGTGACTATATCTGACCGTCGAGGAGAAAACGATCTTTAACCCAAGATGGCGATGGCAGTTAATCCCAGAACGGGATGGTTCGCGTATTTCGCGGCACTATCTCTATAGGGGTCATCTTTATTGGCCAGTGGGATACTGGTGATAAGGTAAAATACCGGATGTCGCCGATGTCTGTCGCCGATAGTCGCGCGCGCGCGTGCGAAGGTACAACAAGCACATATGCGTTCACGTGAATCGAAGCGAGAAATAATTGACTTTTACCTCTCTCACAGTCGCGTTGGAGGCTACTAAGGAGATCCGATTATTCAAAAATATGTATATGTATAAAAATTATATAGATATACACATATATATTGATGCCGCAAAAATGCAGTCCGATATGTTGAATCTCCGCGAAAATATGGCACACGAGAATCAGGGAGAAAAGTAAATAGAGAGGATTTTCGGGTACCGCTATTGGAAAATGTTGATGTACCGGAGCGACGTGTCATGTTCATGAAACTTTATACTATTAACCTTTTCAAAGATACTGACACTGTGATGCGTTTAGTCCAGTTTTTTTCTCTTTTCATTTCAAATGTTCTTAACGAGGATATGACGAGCAATGCAAGTAACGTGAATATAAATAATCCATAAATTCCCCGATGAAAAACAGAGGAAACTTGTTATACAGTTAACAAATCTCATATTTGTGTCACTTCAGTAATAAAACAATTGATTATGACTTTAATTTATTGATCTCTGAGAAGGTTAAATGGAATGATTTTCGAATGATTTTCCGCGTCGAAGATAACTCTGGGGATTTTCGAGATTTTCTAGAAAATCCCGAAACGTTCAGACAGTCGGGAAGACAAAATTGGTAAAAAAAGTTTTACTTACCGGATACGCATCGATAATGCGCTTCGAGGTATTTGTGTGTGTTCGGGCAAGGATCGCCGAATTGCAACGTGGACGCAACGATGCTGCAGTTTTGCTGGTCATTGCACCTGAACGGGGGATTTAACTCGCGTTTAACAGAATGATCATGGTACACCCTTACCACGTGTACCGCCATGGATCCAGCTCTGTTTTCTTCGTCTCCACGATATGGATGGGAAAAGGGAGTGTGTGATGTTCTCAATGAGAGACTTTTTCGTCGGAAATCGTCCGTAAGATTTGAGATCAATTGTCCTTTCTCTTGTTTGAGATTAGCGATTTCATTATTGAATATTTTTAATCACGCAGTCTGTCGTATATAGAGATCTAATTAGATTCCTCTATGAAATATTGACTGTTTCGTCTCTTACGATTTTGATATCCACCAGAGGGATAAGATTTCATACCTTTTTAATATTTGATCGTTAGAGGTTCCTCAATTATCAGGAAATCATTAAAAATCATAAAGGAAACGAAATATAAATAACCAACTAAAAAGTGAAAAGAGTTCTTAAAGGTGTGTAATTATTTGTGAGTGTATCCTAACGTCGGCAATCGATTCGTAAGACGAAAAAATTCCTCTTTATACCTCGAATGATAATTTCGAAATCATGAGGCTCCTCCGTGCAGCGTCGCGAGCAAATGAGAAGCGAATCCTCCGAGATTTCTTACGATCTCGCGTTATGATCTCGCAAATGTGAAAACGACGCGCGAATAGAAAATTATAAACCAACCTAAGCAGTGGAACTGGGCCTCGATGTACTTTCCGGTCCCGGGACAAGGGTCCTCCTCGAAAATGTCGCTGCGCACGTCCACCGAGCAGGAATTACGGTGATTGCACCTGCAATCGTCACGTGTGCGAAAACGTCACCCAGCGGAACGACCTCGCGGCAATTTCCAAATTCTTCACGGAATCGGCTTGAGAATCGGACAAGAACAACGGCGAGCACGCAGGCGGGCATCTGTATGCCGAGCTCGTCTCGATGAAACGATCCGAAAGTATAACCCGTATGAATGCAATCAACATCGTGTCCGATTACGAATTTCGTTTTATAATATTTTTCCTCAAGAGTAGTGTAAAACTTTTTCTGATATCTCGAAATCATAATTCGCGCGTCTCGCATCTTTATGTTTTTATCGTATTGTCTCTATCCTATATCACGTATCATATCATATTATTGGAATCACGTCGCATATCACACGAAATTTCGTTACTCGTTCATGTAATTGAATTGGAAAAGTTTTTTCCGGTTTTTTACGTCAAAGTTTGCGAAATAGAAGTCGGTTAGTCTCGCTGCATTCGAGCAGGACAAGCTTGACTCGTTCGCCGAACCTCGTTAGAAACGTCAAATCACGATACTCACACTCGTCGCAACAATCGACAATCCAGACTCGCTAAATGAGTCACGGGAAAATCTCGCGAGCCAACGCGTCAACGAAGCGATTTGTTAGTGTCACTGCAATTTCGGGACAAAAGCTCGGCACTCGTTCGCGGAGCTTCGTTGCATCCGTTACATCACGATTGTTCGCGCGTTGTGTTAGTGTGTGACAGTGGGACAATAGGTTAGTAATGACATGTTCGCAACAGTTTCAGACATAAGCACAAGTTAGGTAAGACTCGAGGTAAGACAGACGAGGACGACTCCAGTCCCAGATCCCGACAAACGGTCGTGTGTGCGGATGCGCGTTAGCGCGTGTGTGCATGAGAGAGTGCGTAGAGAAACATGTCAGCACCGAATTACAACCCGTCCACAATATCCCATGGTGTATACACAAAGATTAACGGCATGCAGAGTATATGTTCCTCTCCATCTTGCATATATAGACAAATTATCATACAATTCGCGTTTGCATTCGCGACAGCAATACAGAAATTGCCCTGTATCGGTATCGATATTAATTATCGTAGCTTTGAGTTAATTATAGTTAGCGGCGGTCAATTGGTTTCCAAATTATTCGAGAGACGAAATGTAACGAGAGAGATCCGCTCTTTCTTCGTTCAACTAAATTAATACTCGAGCCCCGAGCTCGAATCGTCCTCTCGTTTCGCTAAAATCAATTAGCGAACATTATCTCTGAGTCGACATTTTGATTCTATATTAATCGTGTAAATTTCGCAGAATTTGAAGGAAAAGTGGAGAATCTCGAAATATAACATCATACAGATTACCCTAATTTGATGCTGCAAATGATAACTTATTTCCGCCTCCTTCATGTTGAAGCTTAAAAAACTGTATTTAAAAGTTTCCAATTTAGAGTTCATATTAGATTATCTCAATATTTTATCTCAATTATCTCAATATTGTATGAAGTAATGCAAATATTATATATCTAATATAGATTGATAAAAGGATTAGTCGGTAAATAAAAAAATAAACACACATTCCTTGCTCATGGTTCGACTCAGGTTGTTTGTAAATCGAACAGGAGAACGACGTGGATCTATCTCTTTTCCTCTCTCTCTACTCTCAACAGAGAGAAGTCCTTGTTTTCGAATTTTATATTAATTTAGTATTGTATTAGTCAAATCTGTTCTTCGTTATTTCGCGGCGTATTTAAGACTCGTCTTCGTTATATTCCGCGGAGAACAATCACGACGAATTTCGCGCTTGCGCGACGGAGCGAATTTCTTTCCTTTTTTCGCGGGCGCTTGAGAGAACAAAAAGCAAAACGGGAACGCCTTGTCGACGATCGTTAGGTCACAGAATTATTCCGTTCCGGGAGAATCTCGGCAATTCGCCGTCGTCCATCGCCGCGCGCGTTCTCGTTGCAACTACGGGACTTGAAAATATTTAGTATCACCGTATTGTCGTAATAAACTTTCCACCTCGCCGGACTACCGAGCACGCTCGACATGACTTCTTTCCGTTAAAGACTTTCCCCGTTGGCGGATTTTCAAAGAGGGCACCCTCTCGGGCATTTTCCTTACAGAATACAATAGGAACCAGAGAGTGTTTCATCTCGAGACGAAGGAGACCATCCAGTTAGCATCGAGTATATTTTCTTTCGGTCTGAATCCCAGTGACGGTTCTCGAGAAAAATTCACCTTAAAAGGCTCTCCGATTATTCGATTCACGCGTAACACGCGACGTGTCCGCACGATCCCCTAACGCGTCACGTTTCTCTTCAACATCTAATCGTACGTACATACAATTGGAAGAAAGTACGCACGTACACGTTTCGAAAAATGCGCCGACGCATCGACGCTCGAAGCGAAGAATTTTAATGTTAAGTCAACCCTCGCTAGTAGAGCACTTTTCATTGCACCCGGTGTGCTATCTCACGTGGAACATCCCGGGAAACTGACATCTCGCGACGATGACACGTCGATATTGCGTCTTCGGGCCCTTCATTAACTGCTGCTTGTTATTTCGGGATTATTCCTTTTTGCGGAGCTTTGCGCACGTGCCAAGTTCTATCTCGAAGTTCAATGATAAAATGTCAACGCGACGGCGATGTCGCCGGCTCTAATTATTGTCACATAACAACTGTGTGATTCCGAAATCCTGGGATCACGGAAATTTAGCAGGCGCGAGCGTGCGATTATCTCGCCGGCGGAGTTATCGGGAAATTAATCGATCGTGCGACGAACAAACGGAACGGTGAAATTCTTATCGGTTTCTCCGCCGAGACGCGGGGCCGCTGTCGATACGTTGTCGTAACCCGTACGGGGGATTATCGACAGACGCGAAAAGTTGTTCCGCGCTCTCCCGTCGATGTAATTGGCTTCGCCGTTCCGAAATTAGTTCGTTACTACGGGAAACGTTACGATTCCGGTTATTAGGCGGCCCAACCGCCGATAGCGGTTACCGAACACCGCCGTAGCAACATTTCGTCCACCTCGTGTTTGTCCGTCGATTCGATGAATCGATACCTAGCAACTGGCAAAAGATTGATAGGGAGGAGATGTAATATTAACGATCGCGCTTAAAGCCGCGGTAATAAATATATATCTACGTTGTAACCACGGTTTATTAATTATGCATCCGTCGACGCTGCATTATGTCATTGTAATTATTCATATGATTCGCATAACAGTTCCCGATATCGCGATGTAAATGTGGTCGCGCACGGAGGGGTGCGGCGTTTCGTCGACAACCGAAATTACAGTGTAGCCAATTATAACGCACTGGCGCTTTTATTTGTTTAACAGAACGCGTCGACGGGCTGTCGTCCTCGATGCTAAGTGATAATATCCATTTCTCGTAACCGAATTTCGCGAGCGCGAGCGATGATAATATCCGTTTCTCATTAATTAGAGCCCGCTTCAAATTAAACAACTACCCTCGGCAGGGTCGTGGGCGAAATAAGTCGACGACTCCGCCGGCAAATATTCGACGGAAATAAAGACGGGATCGGGATTAGAGAATTAATCGTCATTGCTCTTTATGTACTCGGTAATATTATTTTTCTTTGTTATAGCGATGAAATTATTATCACCATTATTATTATTGAAATATCGTGAACGGGAATAATTTGTTTCGCTAAATTGGTCGTCGTCGATTCGCGCCGCATCCCAGGACGCTTAAGGATATATTGCCCGTAACTCGAAATAATGAGAAAATTATGACAAAAATTACAAATTGATCTATATTACATTTAAAAGTGACACGAAAAGTTTGAAGGTAATTCAGAGCCTGGATCAAAAATTATGCCAAGTTATTCTTCCTTTAAAGGAGGTTGATGAAATGAGTTTGTAAGAATTCGATGAAACTTGTATTACGTATATATTGAAATGATCTAACTCATTGCTCGTGCAAGGACACTCCGTCACGAATAAACATACACTTCTGGTTGAAAAATTATTCTTTTCCTTTTTTCTTTTCTCTTCAAACCTTGTTATTTTCGCTTGATTCCACTTGATGCCGGAATTATACCGCGAGGCAACATCGGCGTTATCCCACGAATGGGACACCTTCTGCGAGCAAAGCGACGCGAATTCATTAAATTCACGAGCCCGGAACGGCGCGCGTTAGACATTTCTATCGATTTTTCTTTTCTTTTTCATTTTTTCTTACGCTCGCGCACACTCCCTCCTATCCGATTCCATCTCCATCGTCGGGGATCGTCC